AGTGAACAATCAAAATCAAGTTCTTGTATTGTAGCTTTTTTATTTGTGAAGGTTGGTATTCTGACTTCTGTGCACCGAAATTAACGTTTGTGCTTGTGAAATAAAAACTCCCCTAATTTCATAAAATTCTAGCGCAGCCTGTAGAGATAGAAATATAATATTCTCTAATTGTGTATTATTGAAAAATTTTTTTTTTTTAATAAAAATAGTTACATTAAAATAAACAGTTCTCTCACATGCCAAACCAAAATGTAGGAAATAATCAATATCGATTTTCATTGTGTCTGTTTACTGGGGGTTTCATTGTTTGAATTGTCTGTTTGTCCATTACTTTATAAATTATTTTTCTTTGAAATCATTGTTGCTATATTACTAACACAAATATGAAGAATAAAGTGGAAGTCAGTATGATTCTTAAAAATCGTAGCGCAATAACTGCTGCCCAAAGTATTGCGAACAAAAGACTTAAGTAACGAACTCGTTGAGCAACAATGCCTTCCGCATATGGAAAAGTACTCAATAGTAGATGAGTTTGAATGGCGTTTGTCTTCAAGTAAGAAAATGTTGATATGTAAATTTTTTTAAGAAAATTTTAATTTATGTATGGAAAATATTACCAAGGTAATAATAAATATATGTATGTATATATATGTTAGGCATTTGTATACAAAATTAAAAAAATTGAAGCAAACTTTACAAATTCCAACACGTAAATGCCGACCATTGTTATATAAGCGCCATTGTTCATATAGAAGTATTAAAAATTAAGGAAAAATAGATATGTGATATGGTTTGCATTTATTTTTTATACCCTGAACAGAGTATATTAAGTTTGCCATGAAGTTTGTAACAACCAGAAGGAAACATCGGAGATCCTATAATATATATACATATGGTATGTATGGTACGATCATCGTGACCAGCTGTATATCATCGATATGTATATACGCGAAAGCTCTCTCGGTTTTTCCTTCCCTTTTCTTTTGTCCCCAAGAAGCCGCTCATTTGTCGGAACCACTATCACATAAAGCTGCAATACAAGCTGATTGATCGAAACTCAGTCCTTATATGGAAGCGCCAAAGCACCACTCATCATATAATTGTTGTTGTTGCATTTAGAGACAGAAAATATTTTATAAAATACTAAAATTATTTCGGTCATGTAGAACACTAAAACCTTCATGAGAATGATAACACAGTGACTTAGAATTTGTGCATTAAGTTCTCCTTGTAATAGTTGCATTCCACACATCACCAAATTCATGTCAGTGGCAGCTTGAATAATGAGTATATGAATTGTATATTATATTTTGCATCAATAAGTGTGTGTGTGTGTGTTTGCCACTTGCAGAAAAATCGATTTGTTAATTCAATTCACACCAAAAGCTCGAAAATTATCGAAAAACAAAAACGAACAAAGCTAACTCCAACACAATATTTCAAATAAAATCAATTAATAAACTTTTAATTTGCGTACAATTTCACTGAATTGCATCTTTGCAATTTCGGCTCAGTCGCAACTCAACGCTGTCAAAGCACATGGCGAGCCAAATTTATGCACTGCTTTTGTATCGTTTTTTTTCGTGCTCTTCACAACCACAAATTTGTTGGTCTCGTCTATTTGCATATATTACGCACATGCTCCTTTGGTATTTCCCTTTTCACTGCCCATTTTTAACCAATTCGCTATTGTTTCACATCCGTCAGTCAGTTGGTAGACGCGCGTAGAGATATATGATATATTCATAGCTAAATCTCCATTGTGCTGGTGTCAAGTTGTTGCTGCCGCGTAATGTTACTGTTACAAAAATTAAAAAAACTACAACACCAACAAGGATCAAATTTACATGCGGAGATATGGGTATGTGTGTGTGTGTCAGGCTGTGTTTTAACTGTTACAACACTTTTTACGTTTCGTTAACGAAAGTGCCTTTTGATTTACAGCCGAAATAACGTTCGTAGTAAATGTAGATTAATGGCGCTTGAAAATATGAGTAAATCATTTTTTTACTGTTTGATTTCGTGCGCTTTGTTTTCAGTTGGTTTTTTTTTTTTTGCTTGTACTCTCACTTTTGTGTCTTTAATTATTAAGTTAGTTATGTTTCTGTGAACTTGAGAAGGTCTTAAAACGCATATCGTAGTTTATTTTGAACTCAATAACTACTTAGATGAACGCTTATATTGAAGTGGCAGCATACTTTGCAAGGGCGCGATGTCTTAAGTGCTTGCTTGTACTATGAAATTTCAATATCAAAGCACAGTAGCAACAAGTTCAAAGTATATGGTGTGCGCGACCCCCAACTGTGGAGTCGTGCGGTCAAAAATCAAAATTCTAAAGTAGTGTAAGTGACTTTTGCTAAAGTGGTCGCCCTTCGGTGGGCAATTCGAGAGTTTGTGCCAGTAAAAAACTATCCTACCCTATATAGTAGGCATTGAAATTCGATTGTAAGCTGCAGTCATTTTTTCTTGCTGCATTATATATTACCAAAGGGCCATATTAGGTGCCTTACTTTGGGCTTATTTGCTTTCGAATATTATTTTGGCAATAAAAGATAGAATTCTGAGAGTTAATTTATTGCCCTTGCGATTGGTGCAACAGCACTCGGAACATTCAAGTGGCGTTTGGTGACTAAACATATAGATATATATATAAATAACTATATATATTGTATAAGATATTTATATATATTTACACGCACATAAAAACATTTTTTAGCGCTTACACAGCTGAGAGTGAACTTAGAAGGCAGCTAGCAGCGCTAACCTTCACACTTAATTAGTTGATTTTGTTTTATGATTTACAAACTAAGCGGTAGTAGTAAATTGTTTACGGTTTTAGGTTGTTTCAATCGCTTTTTAGCGCATCAAATATACAACTTTTGATTGCTCAACTGCAGTTTACTTAGGTGGCATGCATATTTTTACAAGTGAGTGCTGAATTTGTTTAGTCTGTCTGTCTGTCTAGTATGTGTGTTTAACTGTAGAGTGTTTAAACGGTGTTCGTTGACAGTGGAATGGAGAGTTAAATTGTTGCTAATTGAGTTGTGAAATGTCATTGCTTTGTTAATTAAAAAGGAAAAATGGTAAATAGTTATGGACTAAGGGCAAATATTGAAAATTGTCTATGATTACTCCTACGCTCTGTTAAACATTAGCTTTTGACGTTTGAGCTGAGCGTCTCTGTATAATAATGTTATTAATATTGTACATTTGAATGTTTCAGTGTACGATAGGTTTAAATGGTAGCTATAAGCTATGATTGCCCAATCTAAATAATTTATTTGGATATTATAGCATTGCTTTGAGCAGTAATCCATGCCAAATTTTGCGAAATTATTTCGTCAAATAAAAAAGTTTCCCTTACAATGACTTGATTCTAATCGTTCAGTTTGTATGGCCCCTATATGCTATAGTAATCCGATATCGTCGGTTCCGACTTATGAACAACTTCTTGCAGAGAAAAAGATGTGTGCAAAATTTTAGAGTAATATCTCAAAAACTGAAGGTCTAGTTCGCTAATATACATATAATATATATTTTATAGGGTTCGTTGTAAACTGAATATACCCTGTTTATCTAAATCCATGTCCTGGGCTTCAGCAAGTTTTGAACCAGTATTTGATTAAAATTTTTTTCTGATTCACCGAATTTCAAATAAACAAATAAGGAAGTTCTAAGTTCGGGTGTAACCGAACATTTTCTACCCTCGCAACTTGCAAGAATCAAAGCCCGGGAAATTACTTCAGATGTTGACAAAACTTTATATTAAAGGAAGTATTGATCCGATTCAACCCATTCTTGACACAAAGACATACTATTATCGAGAGTTTCATTTATTTATTTTATGATATGAATTTTAATTATATATCTTACACATCGACCGATATTTTCGGTAGGAGGTCAATTATGGGCACTGGGGTCCACATATTCAGTACCTAGGGGCTTGAACAGTTGTGGTTAGATTTAGACAATTTTTGGTCACAAGGTGGCATACTTTAAACGGATCATTCACGCAAAATTTTACCGATATAATCATTGTTGCTGGATTTGCATACTGGAAAGTGAAAAAATCAGATGAAACTTAAAATGGTGTTATATGGGAAATAGGTTGTAATCCGTTTTCGCCCATTTTCGCACTATAACATAGAAATATAAAAAGAATGTAATGTACCGAATTTGGTTGAAATCGGTTAAGCAGATTCTAAGATATGGGTTTTCACCTAAAAGTGGGCGGTGCTGTTTCTATAAAATCATCTCATACCATCCCTGAGTTAAAATTTAATGTCTCTGGCTAGTTTAGTGCTTGATTTATCGCGCTTTTAGTAGTTTTTAACAATACCGTTATATGGGGAGTGGGCGGGGTTGTCCCCCATTTTCACACTGTAGATAGAGGTGCTAAAACCATTTGATTTCAGTGAATCTTGTTATTATAGCTTTAGCGGTTTAGGGGATATGCATTTTAAATCTATTAAGGGGCGGGACCACGCGCACTTTTCAGAAAGTTTTTAACTAAAGTTGCCTGTGATCCTGTGTACCAAATAACAGTATTGTATCTTATTGTGGAGCTTAGTTATGGCAATTTATTTGTTTTTGTGTAATGGCGTTTTGTGGGTGTGGCAGGGGTCCGATTGCGCCCATCTGCAATTCCAACCGTCTTACGGTACAAAGAAACATATGCACTAAGTTTCATAAAGATATTTTTATCTTTTTACTCAAGCTACAGCTTGCACGGACAGACGGACGGAGAGACAGTCACCCTGATTTCAACTCGTCACTTCATCCTGATCATTTATATATATTATATATTGTTATGTATAACACTATATCTACTTTAATTAGTTTTAGGTGATACAAACAACCGTTGGGTGAACAAAACTATTATACTCTGTAGCAACAGGTTGCGATTAGTATTTTACACCCACCGATCCCACTTCATTCTATGTCACATTAACGATTTATTTAACCAAGTACTATAATGTCAACATCAGTATATAACTCACCTGGATAATATAGCCGATCGAGCATATAATGAACCACAGGAAGTCCCTTATGGCATCCGCCCAGCTCCAAACGCTGCTGAGAAAGGACACCGTCGGCGCGGTCGCAGTTGCCAATTGTCCGTTGGGCAAATGGCCATTGGCTGCGCTGCCACTGGCTTCCGAAGAATTGTTGTTATTCACCATTTTCACCGTTAATTTTAGATATTCAACTTTTGATTGTTATTTTATTGAGAACACACAAATTAGGTTCATTCGTTTATTTAAGTTTTCTCAATGAACTTAATAATTTGTTTTCATTTCATACGAACAGCCAGGAAAACACGTTGCCAGATCACATAAAATTCTTCTATATACACTAAAATGTAAGGAAACCCACTTGCACTAAACACAGAATGCCAATTAAAAAAAAAAGAAGTAGTAAATCTTGTTTAGACCGACCAACTTGAATATTTCGCAAGGAGTTTTGAATACGCAAAAGAAAAAAAATCACAACGAAACAAATTGGTGGCGAAAAAGAACTGTTCGCTTGTGCGTAAGTATATGTGTATGGATATTTATTTATTTTCCTGGCTAGCTGTCTTTGCACGTAGGAGCTTGAGTTTGATAAAAATTCGTTATTCCGCGCTACACGTCCGCTCTGCTGAGCGTAAGAAACTTGAGTGTTCGCTAAATCGCTTCGAGTGTCGCTTGACTTCTCCGCTCGACACATAGCGCGCAGCTCACTTTTGTGAGGCTTTCGATTTTCTCGACCGCAACAACAACAACAGCGCATCGCAAATGATAGCCAACAAAAAATAGTTGTAGCATGCTGGCAGGAACGGTCTGCACACAGCTGCGCTCGGCCAAAGCTTAGCTCAGGCGCTCAGCAGCTCAGGTGCAGCAGCTGCTGAAGCGTGCATGCTAATGCTGAAGCTTGAGCTAGCTGTGGCGCTGCAGCTCTAATTAAAATCAGACGTCACACAGCTGTTGTGCTTTGTTGTAGCATTCCGCTCACACCACCCTCCACCTCCCTCCTATGTGTTTGATTCGAACGCTTCACTTCACTTTGCATTACAGTTTTCATATCGAACCTACCAACATGCTTTCGGTTTTGTTAGTTTTCTTTTTTGTCTTTAGCTTCTTTATCTAATTTTTTCTTTTAATTTTTCTTTAGCGTTGTTCGGCACAGCTGATCGTATTGTGTTGCGTTGGCTTTGCGCGCCAAAATGCTTGCAAACGATTGGCGGTGGCCCGCGAAGTGGCTTTCTTAAAGAGACCTTCAAGGTTGGTTATTTTGTATTTCATTTTCCTTTCATTTCTTTAGTGGGGTATCTTTTCGAAACAAATGTATGTACATACATACATAAGAGCGTGAGCAATTCGTTTTCGTTTTCATTTCTTATAACTGTTTCTTTCATCTTGTTTCCTATTCTGCTCTTTTGTTTTGATGCACTAATTGGTCTTCTTTGCCTTTATTATAATTTGTTCCGTCAGGTAAATTGTTTCCCATTTTCATTCCGATAGTGGGAGGTGCGGACTTAGTAGTTTTCTTTTTTAATATGCGTTTATTTGTTAATTATAAATTTTTTATAATTTCAAAGTGTTTTGTGTCAAATAGACGAAAGGAAGTACTTTTATAAGAATCTTCATACTTAGTTGCTTAAGGTGGAAATATCATTAAATCGTGCAAAACAAAGCCCGTTGATGGAAAAATAAAAATCTACATATTTTTTAAAACCAATGGCACTTTATATTATAGTATATTAAGTTTGTAACACCTAGAAGGAAGGTTCGCAGACCCTAGGAAATAACATATTTAATTAAATATTATTATTATTATTATTTTTCCAATAGATAGCGTTATTTAGCTGTATCTCGCGTTGTATATGTCCGATCAGGTTCGGCTGGATGGCGTTAGAAAGATGACATTTCGTACTAAAAAATTTTTTCCGACAGCCGAGTCCAAACATCGATTACAATTGTCCAGGATCTAAACATTGCACAAAAAATCGTTTGGAACTATTTTAGTAAGTCTGTATACGAAAAGTAATAATTAAAGCATTCAAGTTAATTCAAAAATTATGGATTTCTTTTTACTACACCTAATATATAGTAAAATGATCAGCATGAAGAGCTGAGTTGATTCAGCCATGTACGTCTTTTTGTCCGTCTGACTGAATAGATGCGAACTAATCTCTCAGTTTTTGAGATATCGATCTAAAATTTAGCACACGTCCTTTTCTCCACAAGAAGCTGCTCATTTATCTGAACCGCCGATATTGAATCATTATAGCATATAGCTGCCATAAAAACTAAACGATCGGAATCAAGTGCTTATATGGAAAACTTTTTCATTTGACATTTTGCATGGTTATTATCCAAAACAACGGTGCAATCTCTGAAAAAATTGTTCAGATCGAGTTACTATAGCATATAGTTGCCATACAAAGTTAACGAGCGGAATCAAGTGTTTGTATAGAAAAACAAAAATGTTTCCAAACAAAAAACAGCTGATGATCCGTAAAACCGATATTTGGGATGATAGGAGCACAAAGCTGAAGATCTTCATGTCTATCATAAAAATATTTTCACTTTGCATTACTTATATGTTCTTATATGAGAGGCACTTTCTTAATTTTACTGTAGCCTCTCTATTTGCGGTAGGTGGTCACAGTTCAAACTTGTGTCTGGACAATCGGATGTATGGTGACATATGTTACTTATATACCCTTCACATGTAGTCAATGATTGATTCAGATAATTTTACTACCGAGGGACTAGTTTGCTTTCAAGCTCACGGCCAAACAGGTAACTTCACATACGAATATTATAGATTAGTTGATATCATCAAACCTCATCTTAAAATGGTATTCTCTAATCCATCTCAGCTTACAAATATAAGGCCAAAGCATAAGACAATCGCGAAGTTGGTGAACGACATTTTGAGAGCTTAATAGGTACCTACCAGGGGCGTCACTTTTTATTAGCTCGAAAGCCACCGAATGTACTCCGTTATTTAGGAAAGCGCCGATAGCAGATAGATATCTGTACAACATACTACAAGTATATAGATTAAAAAGCAACAAATTTGAATGAAACAACTAGTTCGTCTCATCGTCTCTATATTTTTGCATTTCTGAGGCAGGAGGTCACGAGTAATACAAAGACAATAATATTGAAATGATATGCAAGATAACAAAATTTAGAATTTATGAATAAATAAACATACTTATGAGAATAACCGTAAAAAAATTTCTAATGAATTATCTGATTTCTAAATAAATATTCCTAAAAAAAAATACATAACAAAGCTTTAAGTAAACGTCGAGTTGATTTTTTGCGAATTTTTAGTTTTGGATGTGAATATAGCTTGGCCTTGAATTAATAAACGCGAAAACAGGATTTTCTCTATTTTTGCAAATTGCTTAATATTTTTATTTTAGCTGAGCTATTTGAAGTTGGTGATGGTGTGTATCGGATATTTATTCTATGGCGTCGTTAATTCAACTTATTTTGCATTAACTCAGATTCATGTGAAGGTCATCGCTTTTTTATATATTCTATGCACTTTAATGTAGTTATTTGGATTAAAACCTGAAAAACTGTGATATTATGCACAATTACCAGCACACTTGAATATTTAGTTAAAAAACCAGAGATTTTGATTGATTTTTCATTATAAATTATCCACGAATCATCATCGGAGTTCTAATTCCAGTATAAAAACGGAGCTGAAGAGAAATTCTATAGTTTGTTTATACAAGTCCGATCCAAGATACAGTAGATTGGAAGTAGCAGATAAGCTTTATCATCAACAGATTTAATAGTAGGTGAATGGATTAAGTGCGTTAATAACACTAATAATATCATACTTTTGAGTATAACCCGAGATGATCTGATAACATTGAGGCGCACACCATAAATTGAGAGTTGCTTGGAACGATATCTGAATGATAAAAAATACTTTATTTCGTAAGAGAACTATTGGATGCTTAACAGTTTTGTACAGTGGAATTACTTTTTTTATGATGCCCATATTTTATGGGTCGGATATTTTTTCCTATTTTCTGAATGCTTTAAAGCTGCCTTAAAGATCATATCTGCAATTATCATATCTTCCAGTTGCTTAACATATTATATGCTCCAATATGAATTGAGGCTCTAAACATGAAATCTTATTCAAGAGCAATAACCACAGCGCATCGGCGATATATTAGTTCTTTCCAGACTATATCAACCGACACTGCTCAAGTATAAGCCGAGATGCTGCCTATTGACCTCCAGAGGGAAAAACTAGAACATTTATATCAGCTATCAGCGCCAAAAACAGTATTGACAAATACAAAGGAAAGGAACTAGAGGTCTAAAATGTGGCAGCAGCGTTGGCAATGCTAATCCAAAGGACAGAGGACCCACAGACTGATACCAGACATACAATCGTGGATAGGCAGACAACTTGGTAACCTGGATTTCGATCTGACCCAAATACTGAGTGTAAATGGGTGCTTTAGAAGCTAACTCTACAGATGTCATCATGACATTAGTCCGAAATATCCGGCGTGTCCAGTGTACAGAATGCATATGTACAAGACTCTGAATATGTATGTACTATTTATTCTTTTATTGCCTTCACTTTTTAAATACAAGGGAGAAACTAGAAACTATTGTAGACTGGGCGTCCGTTAGTTCTCATAATAGAGGAGACCTAAAAGTCTTGTCACTCTCTTGTGAGATTCTTGAGTTGGGTGCAATTAGTCTTGGCGGATTAAAGTTCCGCACTCTGGCTTTCGATGATATCACTTACAATATAAAAAGTATGCTGAACATAACCTCAATTTTTCAAGGTCTTAACTGGTGAAAAGAAGAGTAATAAAATATAATTTATAATGTAAGTTTTTACTGATTTCACTTTTTTGCTTATGCTTTTCAAAAGTGTTCCTAACAATTTTTGCATTTGAAAATATACAAGTGTTCGGATACAGGCTGTATTATTATATCGTATCATTATGCATATCTGTGGATCACTTCACAGACCAGTTATGCAAAACCAATCAGCAGTACTAAAGGCAAACGCTTTGTGCGCAAAAAAAGTAGCGACAGCCCGTCAAAACAAAGAAGTGGAGGAAACAGCAAGAAGCGTTAATTAGTCGGCAGAATCTAAACCGTTGGATTTGTGCGTTGTGCAGAGCGGTGCGCGTGCCGCTGGAAGTTCAAGAAACTCTTTAGCCAAAATAAAGGTCAGCAGCTAGTCAAATGCGGTTTGCAGTTGTTGTTGCATTAATTGCATTAATTATTTACGTCATTACGTGGCTTTTTGTTAATTTTTGCTTAACATATTTTATAATTATTGATTTTTTGGTTGATTTTTGTTTGCTTCTGGCTTAGCAGCGCTTTTAAGTTTAGTGATTTTGTGCAGCGAGTCACAGAGTATTCTCGTATACCGCTGAACCACCACCACTATAGAACACCTTCTATACTTTTTCATGAACGAGTGTTTGAAGGCACAGATATTAATTTTAAAATTATTACTGTAAATTCATATGAGACTCACACACCGACTATCGAACTAAAATTATCCGCTGAATTACCGATTTTTCGATTCCGGTACTTCCATTAATACATTTCTTGTTCCACTTGGTCTTGTAGTTTTATTTTTTCAACTTTAAACATTTATTTAGGCACATAAACTCTTATTTTCTAATAATTAGCCAGACGAAGTTTTTGCATGAATGCAATTCAACATAGAAAAAACATTTTCTTCAATTGCTTTCATCAAATAATGATTCGATTCTCTGAAAGAAACTGAGCTGTTTTGACAATTCATGCTTTATCTCTGATTCATGCAATAGGAATGTCATTTTTAGCGCGTGCGCAGTTGTAATGTTTGTTGTAATCTGTTTTGTATTTATTTTGGGTTTGCACCCAAACTCAACGCCGAAAAGGACTTGTGTTTTGTGTAGCGGTGCGTTGCCACTTTTGTGGAAATAAGAGTGGTGAGCAAACTTAATATCAAATTCTTACATTTTTCCTTAGATCTGCAGCAATTTAGTTTTTTACTTTAATTGACTTTTAGCCACTTTTTAAAATCCTTTTATGTTTCTGGTTTTTAGAAAAATCGAAAACTCACATAAACGAACTCTTGGCTTAGATAAATCTCAGCAAAAACAACATAATTTTAGTCTCTCTTTCTCACTGTCTCCTGCTCTTTAAAAACGTTATTTATTTTAATGATAATATAAGATATTTTTACATAATTTAAGAAATATTTCCATACAATTCTGCAAAGGTGCCTTCACTTTTACATAGAGGATAAGCGTGTTTTTATTCTTTATCCATATTACTGGCATTAACTACCAACAGGACTGGAAGGATTTCTTAACGTATTTGCTCTACAAAAGTAACACTGTTTCCATTTTCGCCAATGTTGTGCTTTAATAACTAAAGGGTGTTTTTTTAGATAAGTGGTTTTTAGGAAGAAATAAAACGCATATAATTTAATATTCTTAAAGAATTTAGCTAAATTCTTATGAAGATAAGGATTTACCAATTTGTTTTAAAAATGATTTCGCCTAAGTGACCGCCGCGGTTGGCTCGAACAAATTCCAGCTGAGAAGGCCAATTTTCGACCATTTTTTGCAGCAGTTGGAACCGTAATTCATACAATACTTCACACAAAACCCCACAAAAAGTAGTTCAGCAGTGTTAAATGCCACGATTTTGGACGCCATGCCACAGATCCATGGGGCGAGACAATGCGCTCACCAAAATTTCCTTCAATTTGATTGTTCCTTTGGATGTATGGCATGTAGCGAGGTCTTTCTGGAACCAAAGGTCGTCCACATTAATATCCTCCAGTTGAGGCACGAAAAATTCTTTAATCATGGCTCTATACCGTTCACCATTGAATATAACATTATGGCCGGCTTTATTTGTGAAGAAATATGGACCAATGATTCCTTCTGTCCATAGAGCACACCAAATTGTAACTTTTTGAGGATATACCGGCGTAATGGCTTGATTATCATCCCTACAAATGCGACAATTTTGTTTATTAATGAACCCATTCAACCAAAAGAGAGCTTCATCTCTGAACAAAATTTTCTTGTGAAAATCGGGACGCTATATCATTTTGGGCCCATTCACCGAATGTGCGGCACGCTTGATGATCGTTCGGCTTCAATTATTGCACGAGTAGGATTTTGTAAGCTCGCAAACTAATATTCTTTCTCAAAATATTCCTTAAAGTGTATGGTCGCAGTCGAATTGTTGCGCGAGATGGCGGCTGGAATATTCAGGTCTTCTTCGGTACTCTGCTCCACAGCAGCAATAGCGTCTTGGGTGCGAATTGTACGCCATCTCTGAGGATGCGCATTATCTACTAGAGTAAACGTAGTGCCAAACCGATCCATGGTTGCTTGAATTATCGACTCCGCTGGACGATTATGTCGACCGAATACTGCACGCAATACTCGGTGCATCGCGCAAACATATAATGAGGTAGATTTACCTAGAAATAGAACGAATAACTTAATAAAATGGAGATAATTAAATTAAAATGTTCTTTGAAACCACTCATGACGTAAGGCCATTTATCCTTTTCTGGTAGAGGTTGTCTAATACAGTTTAGGAAAAGGAGAAACTCATTGACATCTATGCGAAATAGACCTTTTCTAATATCTTTTTTACTAAATCAAAATTACAAAAAAAAAACTTCTGTAAAGTCAACCAAAGAGGGAAAATTTAATATATTCAGTATATGCGATCTAAGGCAACGAGATAATCTATTTTGATAGCGATATACAAATAGCATACGCGTACGGAGGAACGAAAGTCTGTGTATTGAGTAAATGGGCTCTAAGGGACAGTATAGACAGATTACATATATTTTTGGAAGATATCGAGAGTAGTATATGTGCAATGTGCGATTACTGTTTTGAGGCATAAGTAATTTAATAAGAAAAACAATTCTTGGCATGCACTAAGAGGTGGCTTTTTGAGAATGCTTCGTTCTAAATTTGCTTTAAGGAATTTATTCACTTGAAAGAGCGAAAAACCGCGTTTTTTGTGAACTTTTTTTACAGAGGAATTTTTTTAATAAGCAAATTAAAATAATGCACATTTACAGAATTAAATGATCTTTCATAATCGGTCGAAATTCATTTTGAAAACTTTGAAAACCCTTTATCCCGTAGCCGATTTGCAGAAGCACCTCCGAAAAAAGGTGCTGAATTCCTGGCAATAAGGAAGATTTTTTTGCTTAAAATTATCTAAAACCTAAAAACCAAAAAATGTCGTTATTAAAGAGGTGAATATAGATAATGATTAAAGTTCTAGCTAAAATTTTAATTTTTAACAAAACGCGTTTTATTTTTAGGGAAAAAGTGTGTGAGTGACTTTTAAAATCGAAACTTATATTAAAAGTCTTATCCTTCGATGACTACCTAACAAATATATTCAAGATGGTCGGTGGTGAAAATTTCAAGTCGATCGGTTCAGCCGTTTCGGTGATATTTTGCTCAAAGTCTCTGAAAACAGGTTTACGGCAAAAACGATCAAATACATATGTATATGTCTTACCACTTGTCTTACTTAGTCTTGCCATAAAATCTGTTACAAAGTTTACAATACATTCAGTGAGGACAAATTTATAAAAAGAGAGTCGTTATTTTTTGTTATAATTGGTATACAATGTCTTTTCGTACATATGTAATATCAGTTCGGTGTTTGCTTTCGCTTCTTAACAATGGAATGGGGACACAAAGAAATTCGTATGGTGTTGATTGTTTTACATAAATGTGGAAGAAGCACAAGTAAAATGAGGTTCTCTGAAAACCTAATATTTTCAGAATGTTTATCTACTGAACCATTGATCGTTTCTCCCAAACGTCTACAGTTGATGATGGAAAGAGAAGCGGTCGTCCTCGCATGATTCGAACCAATTCAGCCACAAAAGCTGTTTTTGAATGCATTCGCAGAAATCCTCTTGGAAAATGGAAAATTATGTTAAAGGAAATGGATATATCGACCGGATCAATGTCTTATTCGAGATGATCTCCACATGAAAGCCCTCTGTCGGTCAACTGGTCATCTTTTGACAACGCGCTTGAAGCAAATTAAGCTTAACAAATGCAAACGGCTTCTTCAGTGGCACGTGGTCAGCCGTGAAAGTATCCTTTTAACAGATGAACAATTTTTAACCTTTGAAGAAGTTTTTTATAAGGAAAATGACAAAATCTACGCAAAAATTTTCAAAGACATAAAACATATTTTTTAAAGGGTTAAACGTTGTCAATATCCAGTTGTGTGAGAAAGGGCACCCTTACCCAAACCCTTGTCCCTTGTCTATGGGCCTTGTGCGAGATCAGCAAGCGTTCGTCAGCAACCAGCACTTGTGGAGTTGCGAAAGCCTTCTAGCTCAGAGTGGAACATAAAAGGTACATGGAGTTACTGGCTCTTAGCAAGGTTCACTTAGCCGCAAGGATAAGTCCAAACTGGAGACTGTGAGACTAGAGATTTTGGAGAACGCAATTTGTCAAAGTTGCAGGTAGGAAAAGGAGTTGTCCAGCTTTGGCCAGACTAAGGTTGAAGCATCTCAATTGCCATAATTTATAGGCGCTCTTGCTCTAGGCGTTTTGCAGATATGCGACGGTATTTATGATCCAACCCTAGGAATTCTGGGCATCACAACGGCCAAGCGTCTCCAGCTGTTCAAGTGGTTTTAAACGTGACCTCACGCAAAAACAGCCTATTTACGTTACCTAACATAACAATTTTTATACCGGACTTGTAACCGAACTTATGGCAGGACTGAGCTTATGTGTTCAGAAGCACTTAATTACAAGTTTTTATGGAAAATTTTATTTCTTCGGTTCTACAAAAATATATACGAGTACATATGTATGTGACCTTGAAATGTGACAACACTAACAACTTCGTGATGTCAATCAAAACTTTTCTAAATTATACAAATTTTGTTTATATTTGTATCTAATTGAGTAAATAAAAATAATTACCGTGAACTGCCAAATAATTAACAGCTATATATGCCACTAATACAGTCCATTAAGCCTTTACAAACAAACAGCTTATCGAGTGTTCTTCAAAGCATTGAACCATAAAATTCGTTGTTAATAAATAAACGCTAAAGTGCCTCGCATTATGTCATAAAATGACAACGCAAAAATCGCACAAATGTAAAATTAAAGCGTACTTGCTAAAAAGCACGGAAGCACATCGTCAACTACTGAAACGCTCGCCGTTGAGAGGCAGAACACCACTTCGCAACTTCACTATAAAATGCACACACATACATACAAATAACTGCTAATGTGTTTTGGCAAATAAACAACTTCCTCTTCATTTGCAGACAACGTTTGAGGAAGTAAAATAGGTTAAATTACATACAGATGTGATGCCACGATCCAAAGAACTAAGAATATCCGGTAAATTGTTTCAATTCTACTCATCTACGCTTCTATGTTATACACATACGCACGCACAAGCGAACAGCAGACTCAAGAGCATAAAAAGAATTTGCACAGATTTTATTAGGCGTCATTCTAAGGTCAACCGAAAAATTTGTAAATCCAGTTTTTTCAATAAATCAATGTGCATATGTATTGGTGTTTGCAAAAAAGTTTTAATTTCGACCTATTAAATAATACTGTTTATATACATAGATACTTGTATACATACTTGTACATATAAAAAACGTATGACATACACTTGACCATATGTCGGCTGGGAATTCCCACACTCCTAGATCTACATGTATTCATGTATGTATTTGTATGTGTGCGCGCTAGTCATCGTATCAGTCAGAATTACTACTATGCGGAAATTATTAAA